TTACATTAAATTTAATTGTACATATTTACATTAAATTTAATTGTACACGTATATTCAAATTGATGTACACGCGAGTTAAAATTAAAGTAATATGTTCATTGAAATTAATGTATATGTGCACATTGAATTTAATTGTACACGCACACTAAATTTAATGTACACGTTCTTCAAGTTACTGTACGTGTACATTAAATTTAATGTACACGTTCTTCAAGTTACTGTACGTGTACATTAAATTTAATGTGCGTTCACTATAATTACTTTCATGTACTTTTACATTAAAAGGAATGCAGATATGTGTAACAGTGTAGCCGTTGTGTGGAGGATACTTCTAGCGGCCGACTGCTCAGATCGGTATTTTCTGTGTTTCTTTTTTTTCATCAGTACCAGCTGAATCTCCGCATGGATTAAAGTAATTTAAATAATTACATTGAAATTAATGTGCATGTATATATTAAATTTAAATGTAGACATACTTTAAAGTTCCTGTACCTGTACATTAAATTTAATCTTCGTTCACGGTAATTACATTCATCTACTTTTATATTAAAAGTAATGCAGACATTTCTGACAGTGTAGCTAGGTCGCATTCAGGTGCTGTCTGGAGGATAATTCTAGCGGCCGACTGTTCTGATCGCGAGTTTCCCCGTGTTTTTTACATAACTTCCAAGCGAATGCCGGAGCAGACCCGTAACAAATGACCCAAGGAGGTGAATACACGCGCAGTTTACACAAAAAACACAGGAAACGTTGAAAAATGACTATTTAAAAGTAATTATTGTAAAATAAATAAATTAAATTATTCAAATTTTTACCATAAGTCAAAAATTTACATTAGCACTCCCGTAGAAGGAAACTTCCTTTTCTTTGTAGTCTTGATTGCACATGACTATCCGGTATTTCGACTAAGAATTTATATTACTCGCAACGCAGTGTCTACGAAATGCTATTGTGAACTCCCTTTTGAATCTTAAATTGGTATCAATAAAAACGAAATTGTTTATTTCGTTCTTCGCACTTGAATAATCGTCAGAAGGCTATAGAGAACAAGAAGGAACTGAAAAGGATATATCATGTACAGAGATCGCTACCCTCCAAAGAAATCTGAGGCCATACAAAAACACAGAATGAGATTTAACGGGAACCAACAAGTCTGTAACCATGAATCGAAAAATATCAATAATCGTCGCTGGTGTCATCTTACTTTCCCTTTTAGATTTTTAAGACAACCTGATATTACAGCCTCTGCGTTCACAGAAAGACAATACACGACCGTGCCTTCACGTGGTCTAGGTTTGCAGGTATACTTTTAGCTTGCTAGAAATCGGTGCCATGAATGGGGCACAAATAAGGCAAAATGGCGAAAATTGGCATGGAAAGCTACAACAGGCACAAAAGGCACAATACTGAAACAACTTCAGAAGTACAGTTAACCAATTCCTATTGTCAAACGTAACAGAACATCGTAACAATAATAAAAAAAGGTATTTTGCCAAACGTCCGAACTTCAGTCGTAAGTTTGGCTACTACTTTAGCATTAAGTCTTCAAAAGCCTCACAAGTAAAAACCTTTCGTGATCTACACAGAAATGTCTAGTTTTCCAAATATTGCTAATCTCGCGCTTTTTTAAATTTTATTTTTATTTATTTATTTATTTTAAACTTTTATTCATCTTTCAAATATTTATAGCAAAATTATTGGGAAGCAATTCTGGAACTTTGGGATATGGGGGAGATGATCTTCTCCCCCATACGTCAACTACGGTTTTTTTTATAGTTTTTGACTAAATCAATCTAATGTGCTCTAACGGTGCCCCCACCCCAGCCGCGTGTGTTTGCGTGGCGGCGGCGCGCGGGCGGAGCAGCGAGGGCCGAGGCTGGCGCGGCGCGGCGCGGCGCTGTCCTATTCGCTCGCGATCAATAAGCGCTCACGCGAGTGGAGAGCGCGGCGCGGGGCGGGGACGGGGCGGGGTGAGGCGGGCTGGAGCGTCCGCCCGCCCGCCCGCACGGGAAGCTCCAATGCACTGCCTCAGCCGCCGCTCGGCACCACACGACACGCACACTGAGGGGCGAAAACGGCGGTTTGCTGCGATAGTGGAAAAATAACGGATTCTATGTTCTGCTACGCGGGGGTATAATTAGTTTGTTTTTTTCCTTGAAACATCTGAAAAACGTGACGTCACTGTGCGTAAAATATTTTTCTTTCGCGGATGTGTCGTAGTCCGAAAAAAGGGGGCAGAGCGGGCCGGAGCGTGATGGGGAGGAGTGAAACGGAGCGGGGAGGAGTGGAACGGAGCGGGGAGGAGTGGAAAGGAGCGGGGAGGAGTGAAACGGAGCGGGGAGGAGTGGAACGGAGCGGGGAGGAGTGGAACGGAGCGGGGAGGAGTGGAACGGAGCGGGGAGGAGCGGAACGGAGCGTAGAGGAGCGGGTGGAGAGGAGCGGGGCGGGGAGGAACGGGGCGTAGCGGGGCGGACAGTCTGCCCATCCGGACGGGAAGTCCTACTGCCTCAGCTGCCCCTCCGCATGACACGACACGACACGCACGCTGAGAGGTGAAAACGGCGTTTTGCTTCGTTCGTGAAAAAATAAGGGGTCCTGCTGTGCGTGGTAAAATTAGTTTTTTTTAACATCTGAAAATCTTAACTGTGCATAAAATATTTTTTTCACGATAATGGCATAGTCCGAAAAAAATCGTTTTTACACAGTCACTAGTAAAAGGAGTTCTTCCAGGGCATGTGTAGCGTGCTGAAAATTCTCTTTTAATCGCAAGTGCTGAAAATGTGACGACGTTAGAAGTGCTCAGACCCATCTGTAAATGGAACCAAAAAAAGTTTTAGCCGCTTACACGGGAAGTCCAGGCTCATTGTCTCAGATCCCGACGACGCGACGCGCGCCCATACACGCGCGAATGCAGAGAAGGCGAAAACGGCATTTTTCTACGATCGTTTAAAAATATGGGTTTTTACATGTTGCTGCGCGTGGGCGAAATTCGTTTTTTTTTCTTGAAACATGTTTCGTCATCGTGCGTGAAATATGCTTTTTTCTCGATGAGCCTACAGTGCGAAATATTTATTTATGATACGAGTGGTAAACGTCACATTTGATTTTGCGAGTAGGAAAAAACGGGGGTCCGATAGGCCAGGGAGCGCAATCCTACGAGAAAAATAAAATCACTTTTACCACGTGTGATGGATACTACTGTTTTTAAAAAGCCGTATAGACATTCCTTTTACTTTTTATTTAAGAGTACATACAGCTCAATGATACATTATGGTCGGCGATAGCTGAGCGGATCAGTTATATTTTGTTTCCTTTTTTGTTTTCACAAAAGAATTTTGTTTTCTTTTTTGCATTCACATATTTTCTGAACATTTGAGCATCCTCCAACGTTTAGTACCGGAGCTAAAAATGAACTTTCAGCGCGCTATGCATACCCTGAAAGAATCGCTTTTGTAGTACCTGCACAAAAAAGGGTTTACGCGCGGAAGGTAGGTTTCAACAGAAGTACGAAAATAAAGCGCACATTAATGGCAAAACAAATTTAATTTCATTATTGTTAAACTCTTTCCCAAAATTATTAACTTATAATTAATTATTAACACATAAATGAAGGTAACACGTAATATATCACGAAACTCGTAACCACTGCCTTAGATATACAATAATTCACAACTAATAGTAAGTTTTATCACTAATTTCTTAGAAATTTGATACTGAAGTGTACGCAGATTCGTACACCCCCTGTGTCGGCATTGCTTCTAGCCGTTTTCAATTCAGGAATTATGTCCATAATATGCTATTACGCCTCACTACCGTATGTCCTGAACTACGGCCTCCTGTTACACGAGTTCAAAGTTCCCGAAGGTGGGGGTTCATTCGACTAAATCTTGAAGAGTAGAGATGAAACAACTCATGATTGGTAAAATAAGCATTTTTATACAATTGTAGAAGCTTTTTCCTTGATCTCGATAGTTTTTGTGCCTCTCCCTGTTCTCAATATCGGCCTTGCCAAAAACAATCATTTTACGAATTAACGTAAAAATACCTATTTCCTACTACTTTACAAAAATGAGGATATTGCCCATTATTATTAGCACAAGGAAGATCTATTTATTTAATTCAATGTACTGCAAAGTCGTGGTGATTTGTTTTCTCATTAAAACCACGAAAATACATTGCCACTGAAATATAGCCTTAAATAAACACGTTTTTCTCAGAATTTATAAAATGTCACTTACACTGTTCTGTTTTTCATCCATTCATGTCAACACAGTTTAAACTTTTGTGACGTATGATGGGGAGAATGCAATATGTACGTGGTTTCTTGAGCTTTGGAATATCTTTCCCAATACACCTATGATTCTCTATGAAGTTGAATTTTAAATACGTGTAGCAACGGACGTTTTTTTGGCACAAATTGATTGAAAATATTCGCTCTCGTATAATAAAAACGATTTAAAAGAGGTAAATCAGCTACGGAAGTAGGTTATTATCCGTACACTTTACGGGAAGTAGTCGACTTACCGCCGCGATACAATGGAAAACTTTTATTTGAATCGCTACATTCCCAAAATGTCATGAAGAAAACGTACACAGATAGTGAAGTTACATTTATGTCATGAAGGAAAACGGGGATTTCAGGATTTGCTTAGAGGATGAGGGAAACTGGACGAAAAGACTGGTCACTGTCAGCTCTGTCAGTGGTAGGAATTTGCCTCCATTCAGCGACTGAATTCGACCAAAAGCTATCTACCGAGTGCCGAAAATCCTGCCACCGACGGGACTTGAAACTGGGACCTCCCGGTCAGAGGCACAGCAGTGGCGTCTGTTGATGTCCTGAGCCACCTCTTCCGGTGCTGGAAATCTTTACAGGTGGGGGTGGTGGCGCTGTGGCAGTTTGTGACCACGTGTACTATGGGAGGAAGCGTCTCAAGGAATCAGCCAATGAGGTAAGACGTCGCAGACAAATACTTGTGTTCATTTAATTTCATTATTCTAAGACTGAACAGATTATTTTCTATGAAAGCTATAAAAAAGTATTAAAAAAGACGTCATCAGCAAAAGAATTAAAAAATTGATGTAACAAAACAGTTATTGGCAGAAGAAAATATGGAATTATTTTGTGAGCTCCTTTGTATTAAAGACTTTACTTTAATAAATAAATTAAAAATAAATTTGATTTTACATATTTTGCCCTAAGATTACTTTTGCATAAAAATAGTAAATTTAAGTTAAGCCTATAGTGAACTCAAGTAAAGATGCTCATAAGAATACTCAGTGGTTAGAAAATTATTCCATTCAAAATGATGAAATTGTATTCTTTAACAATAAAAAATGTCCTGAAACTTTCTTCAAAGAGTATAGATGTTCTTTGATGATTATATGTAAGGGACTTGCAAATGTATTTTGGAGAATATCATGAAATAATATAGCTTTATATTAAATAAACGTGCGTAATAATTGTAATCTACAATATATGGTTATCAATTATCAAAATAATACTCATAAAATAATTTATTACTTTTCAGAAAATAATAATCTCAATAAGATCTCTATTGATTATGATTAATATTGAGTAGTGTTTTTTGCTTCTTTCTTACAAATGAAATGTTTAAGAAACATTTCATGTCAAACGGAATAAGATATATCGACCCGGACATTTGTACCATTATTACAACTGAGAATCGTGTTTGGCTTGCTGAAAGGTTTGAATCTACTAACCAGTATTTGGGTCATGAATACGACGAGATCAAAGCCAAAACGCCAACTAAGAACGCAAAAACTTCAATTAGCAACCAAAGCGCACTTTAGCCCAGCTAAAATCGGACCTACTTCCCCACAAACCGCAAAGTGCAGCAAAGCCCAAACATCAGGCAAAAGCCCCACTTCAAAAAAGGGTTCCACTTTATAGGGTTTCGCCTGTGGCAGAGAGGTGTCACATCAGGTTTGGAAACAACCGACCGAATCCGATGAACGAATCCCGGCGATACGGCTCATTCCACCTCCCCTCTACGTCACGTCGTGTCCCCCACTCCGATTCTCCCGGGGGGCGAATAAAAGAGACTCGAAATATCTTAACCAAACGGAACAGGAATTCAATTCCTGTAACAAAGCGGTCTTCGGTCGGTATCCCCTCTCCTTCTAATATCGTTTTCCGTCAGGATAACGTCATTTTTCGGACGGTCTCCGTTCTCGGTGGAAGACCGACTTCCCTTCCTACTCGTTCCTCACTTTCTACCGTCGCGTTGTGTGTCGGTTACGCCCGCGAACGGGTCGGCCGACTTTTTTCCCCCCCACTCCTCCCCCCTTTTATTTCCGCAGACGACCTTCGCTTGTTTCGGCGTTTCCTGATTGGATCTCGCCGACCGGTCTTTCGGCGTAACGCGGTTAGCCGAAACCTCACGGAAATTCCCGATGACGCGTGCTCGCTTTTGAATGCCGTTGCTTGCCTCCCACTCCGCCTGCTTTTCCTTGCGTGGTGGAGGGGGGGCATGCGGGTGTTAACGGACGTTTTGGCTTGTGAATGAGAGCGCTAGGTTTCTCGGTTTAACTTCGTTTCTTATGGTGTAATTAGAAGGGCGATTTTAAAGCCCGTTGTTAAGGGGAAGATTCATTTTAGCATGCAGATTCGTCTTGTTGAAACTTGAAATATTTCTTTGATGATCCACAATGTGTGGATGAAGAGATAAAACTCTTTATTTACCAAAACAAATTAGGTATCCAATTATAAATAATGTGTCAGATGTGATAATTTTACAGGATTTTCTGTTTTCATTCACTTCTTACGTTTACAAAAATGTGTTTGTACGAACGTTTTATCGGAAGAATATTGTTTGCTCCTGTGAAAGTGTTATTTTCTCCCGAGAATAAAAACATTTGTTTTCAAGTTTTTTTGGTGACTTAATCAAAAGAGTGATTTTAATGATTGATGTTGAGGAAGATTTACTTTTGACGCAACTTAGTTTCGTTACCACTTTGATCAAAAAATTGGTAACGGCTTTTTTTTGTAGATAAAAATCACATCTATTTTCCCCTTCATTGTGAGTCAACAAACTTGTATATTGATATCATACGTTTCTGAATTAATTTGAAATAATTACGTATTTGCAATTTTGAAAGTCAGAGAGTGATAGCGAGACCTACTGCGAGAGAGGTATAAAGATAGTAGGAGACACGAAGAAGGGAGGAAAAGGCTGGAAGAAAGAGAGAGCGAGAGCGGGAGCGGGACGAACAGAGATAGCGAGCCGTAGGAATATATATATATATATATATATATATATATATATATATATATATATTAGAGAGGGAGTAACAAAGATACAGGGAGAGTGAGAGTGAAAAAGAGTTTTAATGTTTTCATTGCATTAATTTATTGAATATTTCCGCATCAGTTTCATTTTTCAATTTTAAAAAAATGAACAATTTCATAAATTTTTGCGTTCGGGCTCATTTCTGCGGCAACCGAGCGCGCGTTGTGTCCGGCAACACCAACATGACATCGCAAATACGCGCATCGCGATACCTCATTCACGGAAGCTGGCTTCCCTCCGCAGCAGAAATAGAAGGAAATGCTTACGGAGTGCCGCGCATTACAATAGCGTGGCCGCGGACAAAAGCACATCGTAAATGGTATGCTTTGCCGTTGTTTTTTTTTGTGTTGGGGAAACGCTTGTTTCGGCGCTGGCAATTTTTTTTGTTTGTTTTGTTTTCATCTCAGTGAACGATTTCCAAAAAGGTAAAGTTCTCGAAAGCACGCGTAGTTAAAAAAAACTGCTCTTTGTGCTTTATTGGTTACGCTGCAATTTGCTAATACCTCCGACTGGAATTCTTGTTTATGAACTTTGATTTGAAAATAATAGGGCATTTCAAATACGTTCAATTGTTTCAAAAAGTTAGGTGGATTTCAAAAAAGGATTGATAACCGTAATATTTTTTTCAAACTAACATAAGAATTACGAAATTTAGATATAAAAAATTAATTTTGTCATTTAGGATTTAAAATATAGTTGTGTTACAACGGCTCATAACTTTTTGTATTATTGGTAACGGTTACCTAATGTTTTTTATTACGAATTCTGTACTTCTATCACTTCATCCAACACTTACAAAACTTCTAAACATAGAAATTCCAACAGATTCCACTTTCGTAAGTGGACTTTTTTCTAGTCTGGCCAGAACAAAATTAGAGCATGTTTCAGAAAAGTTTTAAAATGTCGTAAGAGCTTTTTCAAACGTTAAAATTAAAGGATCCTTTTCAAATTTCCCTATTCTTCAGAAGTGGGGTCAACCAACATCCTCCAGTTTCCGATATTGAAATCCACCTTGGAAGACCGCTGATTTGACTCATTCCAGAACATCGAGAGAAATTGCACAGCGGACCTCAATGCGATTCCGAAATCATCGTTCCAAAGTGCAATTGAAAGCTAGAAGAAGTTCTGGGAGTAGTGTGTGACTAGCCAAGGGATGCTCTTTGAAGGCGACAAATACGATATTTCATCATAAATTTCTTATTTGGAGAGCCCGGTAATTTTTGAAATATATATTATTTCAGAAGTATGTTGTTTTAAAGATCACGTTCTAGCTCAGTCAATGGGATTTCATGTATCTGCCGAACATCTGTGCGTAAGAGATTGCTTACAAATTAGGAGAAAATAATATCCATACATCTCCACAAATACACGCTCTACGTTCATTGGCAAAAATTATAATTTTCGTTCCCTTTACGTGTCCTAGAAGATTGTAATATTTATTCTAAGACATCTGAATGTAATATTTATGTACACAATCCTTCAATTAATGTTGCCTTATTTTGATGTGGATCAGGCCATCAGGCCTGTTTGCTGCCTGACCACGCAAGTTTCACTACCCTCCTTTCGCTCTCTAGCGTTGAAAGAAGGTATCACTCGGGCGGTGAAAGAGACGATTTGAATTTAGCTCAGAGGCTACTTTTAGGCTTGAGGATCATTAACATGCAGTAAGTCTACAACATGTGACAGCTGGCTTTACTTCCGATAAGAAGGAAGGCGTACGGGGGATTTTTCCACGACTTCGAACGTGTGTGAACCCGCAAACTTGGATGTAACAGTCCGTTACACCACAGAAAACGCCATTCTATATATGCATATAATATATGTATACACACATATCTGCGGATCGGAGTTATATGACAATCACATTTACTAAATTTTATAGGAGAGCAATTTGAAGACGTTTTTCTTTGGACTTAGAGGTGGACTTGGTGTTGTTTAAAAGCACTTCGTCTGGATTGAGGACATTCAACCCCATTTGAAACATATTTTGTTTATACATATACACACACTATATATACACACACTACACACACACGTTCATATATATATATATATATATATATATATATATATATATATATACACGTTCATATAGGGCTTGAGTTGTTACGGAAGGGCCTTCCGGTACCTCCGGAATATTTATTAAATTATGTTATAAATATGTAACTATTTCTAATGAACTGATAATTAATTTGGGGCGTGTTCCGAGACCTAAAATTTTATTTATATACATAGATACACAATTGTATAAACACATATCTTGTATTATGGAAAATTATATTTATGTGAAAGGCATAATAGTGCAAGTAGGAAACGGCACTTGCTCGAAACATTCCCCGACCGCCGCCGCCGCCCCGCGCGCGCACGCGCGTGCGTCCCTCCCCACGCGTGCTGCGCCCGCGCTTTCCCCCGGCCGCGTGCGCGCGTGGTCGTCACCTGCGAATCGACGAGGGATAATGACACAAACGCGCGCCCGCGCCCGCGCGCTCCACTCCGCCGCGTCGCGTCGCGTCGAGGGGCCGGCGACCCCTCTAGCCCCCGCCCGCGCGCTCTCGTTTGTCGGCGAGGACGCCCCCTCCTCATCCCCCGCCTCAACCGACCGAGGGGAGAAAATGGCGGTGGCCCTGTGCTGCCTTGTCGTCTGACGCTTACGTCTACTACTTCCGGTTTTATTTGTACGCCAAATAACATCTCCATTAGTTCCTATTATATTTGTACGTCAAATAATATTTC